GTAAAAAGCAATCATAATAATTGCAAATAAATACTATTAAGCGCATAGCAAAGTTCAAATAAGTAAATTTACTGCTAATTTGAACTTTGACCCCTACAAAACAAGCCTTAAAAATTATAAAACGCGACAAAATTTCGAATTCAATACATTTGCTTCAGTTATCATAAATCTTGCACATAATACTGTAGGAAATCATATCTTTAGGTACTTTAAGTACCACACTAATGCACACTACTTCACTATATGTGTACAAATGTGTTGGCCTGTTTTTTTATTTCTATTTCTAACAATGTTTGTACGTAGCACTCATATAAACACTTACGATTCAAGTCAAGGGTAACGGTGCTGGTAATTGGCGTCGTCAAATTGTTGTTGGCCGCTTGACAGGTAAGCTGCATGTGCAGATTCTCACGTGTCAGTTTGCCCAGCGTCAGTATGTTGCCGACACGTCGATCTGACAATGAATGCGAGGATTGGTCAATCTCTTTGTTACCATTCCACCAGGTGACTCTCGGTTGCGGTCGTCCTGCAAATAAACAAAAATGTTTGAAAACTCGATAAGTAAGTGACAGTGTCGGCGAAAAGCACTTGAAAGTTCTGAAAAAAATAGCGTAGAAAAAATGTGAAAAAATTGCAGTTATATAAATGAGCTGAGCAAATCAAAGGATTAAGTGTGTAARGGAAGTGAGTAGGCGGGGAGTAGCGCTGAAAATGAGTGGCGCTGCTAGATATGGATGGGTTTGCGTTAGAAAATTAGTTGCCAGYGGAGAGACGTGAATGTGCACAGATTGTATAGACAATGAAATGGTTGACTTGAATAGCGGGAGTTTGAAAGCTKAAGTGTTTTTCTTTCTTGCTAGCTTGCTGCTTTTGTTAGCATTCGTGCTCGTCATCTTTGTACACACTGTGTGGACTTAAGTGGTGTGACTTGAGCGCTTAAGTCCAACGGCTAGAGTAATGTGAGAAAGTATATGAGTATATGACAAAAAAGCAAATAAATTTCGAGCAAATTTGGTGTAAACCTGTGTGAGGAAGTTAGTTACAGTAGAAAGACATTAAGAATACCTAGAAGTTGAGATAACTGTATATAGAACATAGAAGTACGCTGAGAAATATATRTAATTTTAAGAAAAATTAAAAGTCGAAATTATTCTTCGAAATTTCTACAATTTATCTTTCAAAAAAATATGTTGCCTACATTTGGGCGAATATCTAAAATTCAAAATCATYATATTTGGCTCTCAAAAAAGTGTATGGCCTACATTTTAGGAATATTTAAAATTCAAAATGTTTGGCTTTCAAAAAAGATAGTTTGCCTACATTTAGGCGAATATATAAAATTCGAAATATGATGTTCGATTTTATATAGCACACATTTAGACGATTATATAAAATTCAAAATGTTTGGTTTTCAAACAAGATGTGTTGCATACATTTAGGCGAATATTTAAAATTCAAAATTATAATTTTTGGTTTTTAAAAATCATCTGTAGAGATATTTTGCCAACATTTCTCCGAATTCCAAAGTGTCATTTTTGGCTCTCAAAAAAGTATATAGCCTACCATTAAATAGTAAGAATTAAAAATATTAAAAATTCAAAAATACTTGTATAATGCTTAGTTTTCAAAACAGTTGATTGCCAACTTTTAGGCTATTACTGAGAATATTAAAATGTTTATACTTAACTTTCAAAACAGATTTGTTGCCTACATTTAGGCGATAGTTTAAAAAGCACATAATTCAGTTTAGCTAAACCAAATCTTCTGGAGCTTTTAGCAGTATAAAATATTTCTTAGGTACACGTACAAATTGACAAGTAGTGGTTTGCCAGTTGGGTAAACTTAGACAAATACTGCCGAAACTATATTATTGTCGCGAAAAGCAAATCAAAGTAGGAACTAAGTTTAAAAAATTGAAATTATTATATAAGATGCCATCGGAAATCTATATTAACTGCATTTAAGCAAACTCGAGAGCACAATGTTCATATTATGCATCCTTCACGATCAGGCTAGGCAAATTTGAAGACATTTTCAATAGCGCAATGGACTTGAATAATAAATTTAACTAAGTACTCTATAAAGCTGAATATAGAAGACCTCGTTGTTCGAAATAGAAATATTTGCTTTCGGAAACTGTGTTGCCTATCTTTAGGCGAATATTTGAGATCACAATAGCAAATTGAGCAAATTAGACACTACATTCAGTCAAAATATKAGCTCAACACTTCTATAAAGCTCGTTCTGTCGGCTGAGTATGAGAAGCATCGTTATCAATAGTGGAAAAATAAAAAATATATTGATATTAAGTGCTGTTAGACGGCTTAAATATTTGAAGAATTTATCAAAAAGCTTAAACTTTTAGGGCATAATTCCGTTGACAGACCACGTCTGTATTCCTCCATCGTTTATTCACTTAGTCTTTAGTCTTTTTAAAACCAGCTTTGTGCTCTAGCGATTATTTATATAAGCGAAAAATCAATTTTTAATGAGTTTAAGTGCAATTTTGTGATATTTTTGCCCGCTCGGTGATACAGCTTTTCCAAAATATATTTCCTTTAGAGGCTCTTTAGTGTAGATATATATATTTTTTAGCGCTCTTTAGTATTCTTAGCTTTTTGACTTCAGAGTTCACTGTTTTGCGCACATTTTTTGCACTCCAGAATTTTACTTATTTTTATTTTCGTCTAATTTCTCAATTCCACTTCTTATGGTATTTAGTCTTGCCTAAAGTTCACTAAACTCGGCAGAAGTGCAAAGGAAGCGGTTATAGCTGAGCTTGACTGAGTGTAGGGCCAGCCTAAAACCTCAGCGCTTTTCCCAGCAATCGGAATTTGACGTTACTCAATATAAAGCTCGCTCTACAAATAATTTTGTCTGCATATATGTATATTCACGTAGTATACACACATATACTATAACACACATCGAAATCCACACGCAAATATCCCCCAAACGCACATGTCTCCAAAAATTGCCGCCAAATTAATGCATTGCACTTGCAGGTAATAAATAATTCGTGAGTTGTTGCTGTCGCATATTAGAATGGCATTAAAGTTGCGCGCACGTCATCGCACCCAGCCAACAGCCACGCTGTTTGTGTTTCGTATGACTTTGAAAGCGAACTTCGTATCATTTTTCATAGTGTATGTGTGTGTGTGCCAATGTGTTGTGCGCCTTACTTGTGTTGAGAATTAATTTCATAATTACCGAAGCGCGCGAGGGACATTCGAAGTGCCGCTCACAACTTTCTACATTTATTATATTTAATTAATACAACTGTGTGCGAGGGACWTATACACTGGGGAATCAATTGGTGGTGTGTAAATATATACATATGTTAAAAAATACTGGTGCGCTTAGTTGTTGTGTGATGTATATGAAAATGCATATCCCGTGCTTACCACATGTGGCTTTAATTATCGCTCTTAGGAAATGTTAGAAATAAAATACTGTTAATACTTCCGGTATGTATATTTTGGTTGGGTGGGTGTTTCTGTAGAAAGTTGCCGCGAAACTAAGGTATATGCGCTAATATGAAAGCAAATGAAAATCTTACAAAAATCGATAATTTTGTTAAAATTAACAAATAAATACAACCATGTTAATTTTTCAATAGCGGAGCGCTACCTGGAACTTGGCTAAGTTTGTTATTGCCTCTTCGTCTTCTTTCATTTCCACAAATAATCTTTTAGTAGCTCTCAAAGCGAGCAAAACACTTGAGTGCATGCTTTTCTCACACCACCGTCGCCATCATTGCTAATTCTATGAGCTATTATTGCTTAGACTTTTAAGGAAATGGAACATTTGACAACCTGTTTATGCCTTGCACTTTATTGCTCGCTTTGAAATTGCCTTTTATGTATATCGTATAGCGTGAACGCCTTGATGGACTAGCAAATGTAATTAATTACCCACAAATAAAAGTTCAAACAGTTGCTTAATATGCAGCGCGAGTGTTGTGGAGCGTGTTGTATATGCTGACAATATATTGAATGTATTACTATGTAAGGACCCACAAACCTTGCAGGAAATTCGATTGTGAATCTAGAATTTTTGGGTGCTTTTCGCTGCCACGGAACGGGTGTTGGCCTCGCGTATGCTTGGCTATACAAAATATTTGTTATTTTAAGAGCACATATCAATTGCCGAAAGTATTTTTAAGACACGCTGTTAAAGAAAACAGCTTTTACCATATGTGACCTGGTCTACGGAAAGGGGGCTTAGGTGTCATAAAATCAATTTTCACTTTTGAGTTGATTCGAATGAAAGATGAGATGCTTTTTTTTAACAGCTGTTTCCCAGAAAACTAGTTTTCGCACGTAAGCTCCCTTTACGTAGACCAGCTCACATATATTGAAGGATCTATAAATCCGAATGAGTCCACAACTTTGGTAGTCTSTTTGGATTTTAGTAAGTATTTTTGAGTATTATACTATACTACAAACTTTTAAAACCGAAACACTTTCATCGAGAAATTAACACTAAAAGTATAATTTTTTCGCATTCAAAAGGATTTGTTGCCTACATTTGGGCAAAAATTTAAAAAATGGAGATGAAAATAAATAGAAAATTTAAGAAGTTTACTATAATCTGGTTGAGATCCTACTTTATCAAAAAAACAAAAAAAAAAAAAAAAATTTTAGGAACTACGAATTCATTAAATAAAAATATGTATCGAATCGACTTGTTAAAATTTTCGGAAATATACAAGACAAAGGCTAACTTTACGGTTTCACGAAAGCTGTTATTAATGAAGTAGGGCAAAGCAAATATAGTAGTGGCGACTTTTGCCAGCTTTGGATCAATATCACAACAGTAGCAAAATACTTATGAAGCACTACTAACACAAGCTGTGGATAGAAGAAGCATGCTGACATGAAAAGAAAAACTACCACACATTTAACTAMTTGTGTCCACAAAGCCAGTCCGCGTCCAAGTCCACAAAACTATTAGTTTTTACAAAAATTCACATGACTACAAGGATAGGTGTCTTAACTGGACATTGTCTCATTGGCACAGACTAAAGTTCTACGAGCAAAGCGAATGGGCTGAAGTAGATATTCTTCTTCTTCTTCCGCTTATGCGGTGATAACCGAGTTTACAACAGCACACTGGTCGTTCTTGCTTTTCGCTTTTTGGCACCAATCGAAGATGCCAAGTGTACTTAGGTCCTTCTCTAACTGGTATTTCCAAAGTAGTGGAAGATCCCCCTCTTTCACTGCTTCCCGTCGGGGTGGTTGGAGTGTTTTCATTTATTCGTACGACATGGCCTAGCTAGTGCAGCCGTTATCTCTTAATTCGCTTAACTATGATAATGTCGTCGTGTATCTTGTACAGCTCATCGTTCCATCGAGTGAGGTAAGGCGGATGGAGCCATGTGTACCAGTTGAGCGCTTGGGAGTGTTCAGTAACGATTTTTAAATATGACTCAAGCAGCTCAAGACTTCCAGTCTTAGAGCAAGTATCCTGTGGGTAACCAAAAAAAAACATTCGTTTAAAGGCCAGCTAAAGTGAGAAGGCGAAACACATCTTCCCAAGGTTGTGCGCTCGCCACGTAAAAAACAACCCCCAATGAAAAGCTTATAGCTATTMGACGGGACAATAAATTTGTGGTAGGCTCTAGACGCTATAGTGATAAACAGTCGGTTCTAGCTATCTCAGTGGAATCATTCGTGGCCTAACATAAACTAAGTTTTCGGGAAATCGTGCTGTATTCGTCTAATGAAACAAATTTCAGAGCGAGAAGTTTGATTTGCTTACTAGCAAGAAGAGTATCATCTTCAARAAGTGTAAGATACCTAAAATAAGATCCATTAGCGAGGACAGGATGGCGAGTGCCTATTTGAGGTCTCATCTTTTCTGTGTGCCAAATACGTACATACATTTTCGGCTACATTTGCCTTTCCAAAAAAAAAAAAAAAAAATTGTGAAAGAAATACGTTTAAACAGACAAATGAAGGGTACACTCATAAAATATGTTTAAGCATAATGGTGTATATTATTTTTCTTAGCTACATATGTATTACATATGAAGTACTGCGCTTATTGCGGCGTCATAAATGYAAATTGACATTGCCACCGATACGGTGGTGCTTGTTATGACATACTCTTCTTCCCCACCAATATAAGCATCACCATCATACCTATCATACACATCAGCAGTGTCATCATAATCATCAACAGCGCGCTGCTATCGCTGTGCACACTTCACTGGCTGCCATTGTAGCAATGTGTCTGTTGCCTTACCGACTTTTGTCAGTGGCGCATCGCCACCCGCCAATATTGTATGCGATTTGCCGCTCTCTCCCCCACTCTACCACGCTGTTTCATACATTTCGCACTTTTTCTAATTATTCAATTCTTTCCCAACCCGCTCACGCTCTTAGAGTAAATTGACAATTGGGTCGCCGCCACGCTGTTTCCGCGTCGCCGTGTCTGTGGATTTGTTTTGCGCGGCGTTGCCCACTCTCCGTTAATTCATTCTTGCGTTTTCTTTTTTTTTTTTTACTCTTTCTTGTCTGTTTTTGCTTTGTTTTGCTTCTTTTGATATTTTTTGTTACGTTTTTCTTCTTTTGATTTTTTGTTTTGTTTCCTTTCCACCTTTTTTCTGGCTGCTCTCCGCGCTCATTGATGTCATGCCATTGCTGCATATCCTGGGCTTCGTGCTTCGAGTGTTTCGCATGAGTGTGCTACTCCACTTATGCGCTGCAAGTGTGTGACGCATTGTGTGCGGTGGCATTTTGACATTAGCTTTTTCTTAATATTTCATTTTCTTCCCGCCCCCGCATCGCTGCTCTGCGCTCTCATCACCATTAAAGCATTACACTCCTTTTATGCGAGTCAATTTTTCTCCATTGCCATGCCATCGGAATTTTGAATATACTTAGATGAGTATATATACATACATATACATATACTAGGGTGGGTCAAAAAATTTATATTTTTTTTTTATTTGGTACAGTAATTAAATTCATGAAAAGAAAAAATTTTGTTTCTTTCTTCGAACTTTAACTGTTAATAACTTCCAACGTTTAGGTTTACGAAAAATTTCATGTAAGCCTCTTTTGAAGCGCGTTTAATTTCCTACAAAATACTCCAAAGGAAATATTTTTTCAAGTACTGGGAAGCGAGTTATGAATTTTTCTATCTTGTAAGAAAAAAAACAACGGAAAACTTTAGGGCGGAGGAACCTCTCCTGAAAACCATATTTGGATAACCTTTTTTAGTGGTGTTCATCAACCAATTGTTCATAGTATCAAGCAAAAAACGACATCTTTTTGACCCACCCTAGTGCCTGATATATACTCACACCAACACAAACACTTAGAAATACAAATAGCTGCACATCTCCTCATTGAATTCGTGCCCTTTTCAGTATTTCAGTCCATAAATTCCTATAAAACTAAATATATATAGAAACATGTATCTATTTATATACGTATGTGTGTATTGATATATGTATGCATATGCATACATACATATATATATATATAGCTATGTTTGTCTTCCTTCGTGCCTGTCGTTCTGTATGCCAGCTTGTATAATGACAGCTTGCGGCAATCAGCATAATGATGAGTGAACGTCTGCATAAATTATTCGCYTCATATTCATTTCTCCTGGCTTCCCACGCAGAGTTGTTTTCTTAATTTTCTTGCTAATTTTCTTGCTTTCGTACTTCGTAAGCATCATGTATTTGAATATACCAYATGCGTATGTGCGTAGATAAATAGCAAAATTAATTTTTGGATACTAAGTATTTCCATGAAATAAGCGCGCATAACAAATGGTTGGGCATAAGCAAAAGTATCACTTAGCTTTYAGTCTAATTAGTGGCGCTTGTGGGGGGGTGTAGCGACATCACTCGGCGCATTCTCCACCCCCTATATTGTATGGTGTGCCACCAAAGAATGTTTGATCTTATGGCAGTAACAAAAGCTGYTGTTTCCTTTAGTTGATTGGTTAAATAAACTACTCAGCAGTTTTTGGTGGGTCTTATCTGGAGCTCTGCACGAAATGCTGGACTATGCTCTACGGCAGATGGTCCTTTCATGAGTTCGCTTTCACTTTGTATGTATATCACTTTGTATTTCAAATATTTACTATTAGATATACTGATAATGGTAAGAAACCAGCACAGAGTRAAAAATTTCGTCTATTTATGGACCGTGGACTAAATTTAATTCTATCAAGAAAATATCTAAAATTCGATGCACCCAAGCAAGAATTCATTCAAAAGTTCTTTCAAAAATATACATAGAATTACAAAAACTTTATTTTCGTAACTTTCTTTATATGACAGCTATGGTATCCGATCTGACAAATCTTTTCGGATATATTATTTTTGTCTTGGACGAGCCAAATTTTTTGAGAATACCTTGGCAAATAAAAATATTTTCCATACAAA